CTGAATTACGACTGAAAGAAAGCAGCATGTTGCTAGGCTATTCAAAAAATCAGAATAAGTGTGCCCAAATAGCGGTTCGTTCATTGTCCTGCCTCTTGAATAACTAGGCGAAATGGTGTTCATTTCCAGTCTTGAATCACTTGTTTTCGTACCTTGTTGTTATTACATAATTTTCTTTAGTATACAATTGGTGGATGGTGTCTAGCAGTGGAATCCAGGATGCGCATTCCGTCCTATTTGGGACTCGTCAGCTGGATGTACCTGCATTTCTCAGTGAGTGATGATGTTCCCGCCGAGGTTCGAACCCAGTACCCATAGTTTCAAGCGCCAAAGCGTTATCCACTAGACCACTTGGGCCACGAGAGCCACCTCTTGTGCGACGGGTCATATTAATTATTGAATTGAATTTTTGATTTTCCCGTCGATTGATTGGACCGAAGTGCTCGGTCTCAGGTTGACATGTTGGCTTCTCGTGCAGATGCTTTTATTTATGACCCGTCGCACAAGAGGTGGCTCTCGTGGCCCAAGTGGTCTAGTGGATAACGCTTTGGCGTTTGAAACTATGGGTACTGGGTTCGAACCTCGGCGGGAACATCATCACTCACTGAGAAATGAAGGTACATCCAGCTGACGAGTCCCAAATAGGACGAAATGCGCATTCTGTATTCCACTGCTAGCCACCATCCACCAATTGTATAATAACTAAATGCCCAGACACCGTCGAAGCATCTGCACAAGAAGCCGGCATGTCAACCTGAGACCTAGCACTTCGGTGCAATCAATCGACGGGAAAATCAAAAATTCAATTCAATAATTACATAATTTTGTTAAAATTTTCGTCGTGATTACTTCTGAAGTTGTTTCGAGTCTTCTACGTTCGTGAATGAATTGACTGATTTAAAGAGAGCAGATGGGTCGTATACGCCGGGGAGGCTAGGCTATTGCTGAGAATGAAATGCACACGGAGATAATTGTTAGCTGCGGTCCCACACGCCGGGGAGAAAGAGTGTAAACGACTGAGGCTCGCATGCGTCACCGCTACTAGAACTGAGGCAGAATGAGTGACAAGCGATTGCAGTGGTAATTGGTAGTGAGTAGATAAGAGGATGTGCGTAGAGTATCATGAGTTGGTGCTATGGTCACGTTGCATTCTGCAAGAGTCATTCTAGCAAGTGGCGATTGTGTTGCAAGATGTCAAGAGGAGGCCTCTGTCTGGAAGGCGCAGGTCGCCATTGATGTGTGAGATTGTGCTGTGAGTATGCTTGTTGTGTGTTGGCTTTTCTGTTTGTTTTCCATTTCAGCCCTGTCCGTGTGACCCAGGTTCTCGCAATGGCATCCAAGTCAACGTGTATTGGTCGTGAAGGAAAAAAGGGATGGATCCGTATTTTGCCGGGGAGTGTCAATGTAGTTGAAGATTGAACGATCAATTCTTGGTTGTTTGCTCAAAATCAACTTCCCCAATTTTCGCGGAGGCATCAATACGACAGTCATCATCTCATCGGTCGCTGTTCAGAAAGAAGAGTGAAACATCGTCAGAAGTAATACTATGATTTATTATTGTAATATTTGTTCACAGACCTTAGTTCAGTTATTCTTTTTATGTGTTGGTGTAACAATAAAGAATTCCAAAGCGGCTAATCGGTGTTTTGGTTTTTTCGTCCGTTATAACTAAGCGTTTCTGAAAACTTCAAAGAACAGCGTGGGCCCGAGCGCAGCAAGAGCTGGGCATTAACGGTTTACGAGACGTGACTGACAAGTGTACTTTCCGTAGTTAAATATTGAAATGTCATTGTTTCATCACTCTATCAGCAGTTGAGGACTTTTAGACGGGGTAGAGTGGACATTTTAATGTTTTTCTAGGCTCCTTTTGAAACTGTCAGGCTTTTCACAGAATCTAATCTCAGAGGGTAGTTGGTTCCAAAGTTTGCAATAGTTAATGGTGAAGAAGTTAGCCCTAATGGTGAGTTTATGGGTGTTAGCCTTAAGAAGGTAGTCATGGTCGCGTAGTCCATACGATTTAGGATTAGCCCTAGTTATGGATGAGTTACTGTTACAGTGCTTTCTTATAACTGAATAAGAGAAATAAATTGCACTTCACTCTCCTTAGCCATAAGGGTTCCAAGTCCAGTCGGATACATCTGTCAAGGTATTCTATTTGCTGATGATAGCCTAATATGCGTTTCGTGAGGAATCCTTGGACACTTTCAACTTTTTTTCCGTCTGCTGATTTAAAGCTACTGAATAAGTGGGCACAGTATTCAGATTTGGGGTGAATACATATCTTATATATATAGCTAACCTGGCTTCTGGAGTGTAAAAGTTGCGTAGCACAAAGCCGGTTAGACGTTTACAATCAGATACCGCCTTATTTGCATGTTCAGTAAAGGTAAGATATGAGTATGTTACCCCGAGATCTGTGACTGTGTTCGTGTTTGAGACAAGGTCACCGTACATATATAGGCACATGCTTTGTCTATGTTACAGACGTCTTTATTGAAAGCCGTCACTCATCTTACACTGGTATCAATACCTGCAAACTCCTTGCTACAGATGGTGATTGACAGTTGTAACCTAGCAGCAAATGGAAAGTCATGGCGAATTTCGAGGAGACAAACGTCTCTCTTGGCGAAAATTTATACAAACCTACACAGTAGGTGTTCCTTTTTGCTGAAGCTACAGTGCATATCAAAGGCACTGATCTACTTAGCCATCACCAACTACTCGTAGATGTCCATCGACAACGACTGGCGAGTGGCACCACTAAATTATATATCATGCTTATGCTATTTTATTTGACACATGTTAATTGTTTTTAACTGTATCCCGCGTCAAAAGTGCATATATATCTTATTTTCCATTTACATGTACTGTGTCACCCGCTTTTCGAAAAGTGTCTCGTCGATGTTACTCCTTTTCTTGTCCCTGGCGGGGTTCTCAGAGTTCTGGTTTTCTTTTCTGTGAGATGGACACTGGACAAAAACAAACGAAGCAAGAAAACTAGCAAACGAACATTCACGAAGGATTTACTAAGAAATGTTGTTGTCTCAGGTAGCACCTCCTGAGGACTGATATCAGTAGCTGTCAATGTAGTTGAAGATTGGACGATCAATTCTTGGTTGTTTGCTCAAAATCAACTTCCCCAATTTTCGCGGAGGCATCAATCAGCCAGCCATCGTTTCATCGGTCGCTGTTCAGAAAGAAGTCAGCAGAAAACCGTCAGAAGTAATATTGTCATTTATTATTGTAATATTTGTTCACAGACCTTAGTTGTAACAGTGTTTATATGTTGGTGTTACAATAAAGAATCCTCGAGTGGCCAATTGGTGTTTTGGTTTATTCGTCCGTTATTACTAAGCGTTTCTGAGAAACTTCAAGGAACAGCGTGAGCCCGAGTGCAGCAAGAGCTGGGCATTAACGGTTTACGAGACGTGGCTGGGAGTTTCTGACGGCGAAGTCAGATTTTCAAGGAATTCGACCGTTAGTGACAGCTTGATTAGTCACCGTTTGTCAATCACGTCTCATAAACCGTTAATGCCCAGCTCTTGCTGCGCTCGGGCCCACGCTGTTCTTTGAAGTTTTCAGAAACGCTTAGTTATAACGGACGAAAAAACCAAAACACCGATTAGCCGCTTTGGAATTCTTTATTGTTACACCAACACATAAAAAGAATAACTGAACTAAGGTCTGTGAACAAATATTACAATAATAAATCATAGTATTACTTCTGACGATGTTTCACTCTTCTTTCTGAACAGCGACCGATGAGACGATGACTGTCGTATTGATGCCTCCGCGAAAATTGGGGAAGTTGATTTTGAGCAAACAACCAAGAATTGATCGTTCAATCTTCAACTACATTGACACTCCCCGGCAAAATACGGATCCATCCCTTTTTTCCTTCACGACCAATACACGTTGACTTGGATGCCATTGCGAGAACCTGGGTCACACGGACAGAGCTGAAATGGAAAACAAACAGAAAAGCCAACACACCACAAGCATACTCACAGCACAATCTCACACATCAATGACGACCTGCGCCTCCAGACAGAGGCCTCCTCTTGACATCTTGCAACACAATCGCCACTTGCTAGAATGACTCTTGCAGAATGCAACGTGACCATAGCACCAACTCATGATACTCTACGCACATCCTCTTATCTACTCACTACCAATTACCACTGCAATCGCTTGTCACTCATTCTGCCTCAGTTCTAGTAGCGGTGACGCATGCGAGCCTCAGTCGTTTACACTCTTTCTCCCCGGCGTGTGGGACCGCAGCTAACAATTATCTCCGTGTGCATTTCATTCTCAGCAATAGCCTAGCCTCCCCGGCGTATACGACCCATCTGCTCTCTTTAACATCAATCAATTCATTCACGGATGTAGAAGACTCGAAACAACTTCAGAAGTAATCACGACGAAAATTTTAACAAAATTACGCAATAAAAACAAGACACGAAAACAACAAGTAAACACAATGAATCCAAAATACACCAATTGCTATGACACACCACACGTATATACAAATTGTACAAACAACCTCGCCGATCATGTCTTGATGGAATTCCTTTGAAGAATTGCAGGACTTACACCAGTACGCCTACAACCCTTCACAGGTTGACGATTGTAAGTTGTGGAATGTCCGGACACAAACAAGATTAACCAACAATTACATCAATTGGAACTCACACAACTATTTAACACAAACATATGTACAATCAACACATCAAATGTTGTGGATTCCGGCATGACAAACTACCCTTGAAGAACTGTAGGACTTACAGCAGTACGCCTACATTCCTTCTCAGGTTGATGATCCAAGTGGAAGTCGTCCGGACACAAACAGAATTACCAACAGCTAGATGACAGATGATATCAATTCAGTATATACAATATGAACATATGTACAAAATCACACACCAAGCACATTGGACTGCTCATTGATGCGCTACCCTTTGAAGAATTGTAGGACTTACAGCAGTACGCCTACAACCCTTCTCAGGTTGACGCCCTAGGTTGGAAAATCGTCGCAGAGTTCATTTGCTAACTTCCTTCTATCAGCTATATCCTCAAATCTGAACGGCAACACGCTCATGTCATTGTATCGTAGAATATAGATGACGAACAAACACACGACGTATCTGGTCAACCAAGCGTAGAAACAGAGTAATTTACACCAAAGATAATAACATTCAAATAGTAACTTGAAACTAGAAATGCCTTTATTCGTGCAAGTCAATTTAACAATTACTCTCTCGTTTACACTTGGCTTATCCTCACTAAACTGAGCAATATCTTTCGTCTTTTCAAATGCACCAATACTATCATAGTCATTGCACAAGATACTTGAGTTGATGGGCGTCTGTTTCATTGTGGATGACAACACCAACGACGACTGATTGATATCAGTTGATGAAGTTAGCGGTGGATCAAAAGCTGTTGTTGCTCGGCTTTCAGAAGTTTGTCTACCTGCAAGACCACCACCACTGCTGTCTTTTACTATCAGCTCAGGTTTAGCACTAGCATCTGATGATAGGTGGGCTACATGCTGATCAATCACACTGACGGTCTCACAAGTATGCGTGCCTTCTGCAACTGCATCTGCATTTATTTCTACTTCACGTTCAAGTTGTACAGAACCTTTGTTCAACTTAGCAGTAGTAGGCATATCCCTCATCTCATCATGATCAACCAAAGACAACTGTGAAGTATCATGATCATTACCACAAATATTCAATTTACCGTCAACTTCATCATTTTCAAACTCTTTAATAACAGAAGTAGACAATTTTGGTTCCTCCTCGCAAATCCTAAAAGGTTTTATAACTTCACTCTGACTAGTTATACTTTGTAAACTTGTGTAGTCAGAACTGCACTCTGAAGCAATAACTCTATTCTGTGACACTCTATTCAACAATGGCTTACCAGTTGCAACTACAGACTTCTTGACCACACCGTTATCGTCACACAATTCGGAGTCAGGCCTGGAGTTTACATTTAGCTTATCACTGAACTTGCTCACTGGTTCACAGTTCACCTTTGTATGCACCTCTTGCAAACGTGTACAACACAACCGTGTTTGTCTTGCATCTTGTAACTTATCTGTTGAGGATGTACTACGAAACCTGTTACACTCACTAGGTCTATATGCATTACTAGACATCATGGAGCCTTCTCGATATCCACCTCTCTGAGGCCTATTCGTCATCAATGATTGCATTTTGCTCTTAGACTGCTCTATTCTAGGGGTGAGATGCAATACACTGGCAAACTTGCTCATAGATTGATTGACACCAGTATTTACCAGTTTCAGGATATCATCAAATTTTGGCTCGATACCCTCATCCTCCATACGGGAGCTTATCTTCACCCACTTCCTTTGCAGTCGAGTAGGTAGGCGTCTTGCTATTACTTCTAGTATAAAACTCGAGTTGAGGTCACTCATGCAATTCATCGAAATCAAGGTATTCTTATAAGTCATAAGATTATCTAAAAACTCAGTAAGTGCCTTGGAGTCATCTTGTAGTTGACTACCATTACCTTTAACAGCCTCGAACAATTTCCCTACAATCATCGAAGGTCTTCCAAACCTTTGACGTAATATGCTCATAGCCTCATCGTAGCCCTCTTTTGGCTTCATAAACTTACAGCACTGTATAGCTCTTGCAGCATCTCCAGTGCAATATCTCATCAAATACATTAACTTCAATTCATCATTTAATAAAAAACCACTCAACATGATCTCAAACTCCTTTACAAATTGTAAATAATCAGCCGGGTTTCCATCAAAACACCGTGGTTCAAATTTAGGGAGTTTGATGTTCCTATTATCCCTGAACGGCGAAACAGTAACATCAACCATGTCATGCTTAACATCAGACACATCGTTACAATTAACAGACAAGTCACAATGACTTACTTTCCTGTTTGCATCCAAGACACTCTGTCCCTTCTTTGACCCAGGCATTGTTGAACTTGACCCAATTCCAAAAAGTTCCAGATATTGCTTGTTCAAAGAGGACTTGACCGGCACCAGGAAAAATGAACGGAGACTATCCAAACTTTCACCAACTGTTTGAATCCGCCAGATCTGTTTCTATCGTCAGAAACTGTCAGCCACGTCTCGTAAACCGTTAATGCCCAGCTCTTGCTACGCTCGGGCCCACGCTGTTCTTTGAAGTTTTCAGAAACGCTTAGTTATAACGGACGAAAAAACCAAAACACCGATTAGCCGCTTTGGAATTCTTTATTGTTACACCAACACATAAAAAGAATAACTGAACTAAGGTCTGTGAACAAATATTACAATAATAAATCATAGTATTACTTCTGACGATGTTTCACTCTTCTTTCTGAACAGCGACCGATGAGACGATGACTGTCGTATTGATGCCTCCGCGAAAATTGGGGAAGTTGATTTTGAGCAAACAACCAAGAATTGATCGTTCAATCTTCAACTTCATTGACAACGCTAGTTCCTAGCCCAACATAATAATACTTAGTAATTGTGCATATTCAATTCTTGAAATTGGATTGTGATTAAAATACTTAAAATGATTAAGATATTTATGCAGCAAGTGTTCTCTTGGTTTGCCACGCTTATTTTCCTTATGACACTTAGTTGATGAGCTTAATGTATTCTTTGCTAATGCGAATTACAACATTGATTATACTCTTATCATATATAGATTGGTTTACTTTACAGCTCTCTGAAAGACTAACAACCCTTCTGCAGTATTGTTAACCAAATGCTAAAATTTTGTTGGTTCAGTGTTAATATCTTTTCATAATATGTTTAGACACGTTACTTTGCAATGTCAAATGTTTACTATATGTAAGACTGTCATGATAACTTAGTACAATAAGTCCTACCAACCGACCTTACCTTCAGTTCATACTACCTACATTGAACCCTAACTATAGTGTTCTTCTGAATCTTTCTCCACTATTCACAAAACCTATTCTTTTTACTCTTTAAGGTTTTAACTTCTTATAAAGTAATCTGTTCATTGAGACGCATGCACACATATATAATATGTTCATGAAGATGTAAGTAGAGACCTATTGGAAGAACTCATAAAGAAAGATAGGGAGGTGGAATATGAGGTACGAACATGTCTGGTACCAAGCAATATATTTGCGGTAGCCATAATAATCATAGTCTCAGAGCCTAACATCATAAAAGGAGGAAGGGTGGCGCTAGCTGATCAGTAGATATGGTGGTGGTCAATAAGATCAATCCCCCCATTTTGCAGGAACAGCAATACGCAATTTGAAGGCTCGAGATATTTCTGATTCTTATGAGGGCCTAGATCTTTATCTTGAAAAACATAACAGTGAACGCCTTGACAGATAATGCTTCTACCTTTAAATGTATACCATTCGCTCAGCCTATTGTTGAGATGCGACTGCGTGGGATCTGCACAGATTTATGGGGCATCTTATAAATTAACTTGCTATCCATTGTCGGATCGTTAAATACCACTTCACAATGTCTCATCTCATTCATCTTCTAATGACGTCTTTACTTGATCCTCATCACATTTCATTAAAGCTAACATTTATAGCTCTTTATGAATTCGATTAGACTCATTCTATTCCTATTCTCTGTAGGGTAGGGTTGTGCACCAAGTGCACAAAAAGGTATGAAATAAAAAACTGCATGAGGATAAATGTATTAAAACCAAAAATGGACATCATGATAGTAAGACATATATGGGTAGCATTATATATTGCAAATGAACGTTGTCAGCCTAGGGAGTTTCCTTTATATATGCATTTATTAATGATACTTGCACTTACCTATTTCATTGCACTTTAATGATTCACCTTAGCACTTTTACTTTTCTAAAACAGCCTTCAATCCATTGTAAACGTTGTACTTACCTCAATATTGGTTGGTTATCGTATGCATACAACAACGGGTTGAAAACGAAACGAAGTCAATTTTCCCGCGAAACCTGGAGGACAACTGTACAATTCAATAACTATACGGCCTGGTTCAGACAATGAATGTATTTATATATATGTATCAAATATTTAACTGTTCAAACATTAATAACTTGTAGGCAATCTACGATTTGATATTATATCATACTTGATCGTGCCTGTAAAAATGGCATGCATTTTCATGTAAATTTATGTTTATATGAAAATATACATTATTATTATAAGCTACCATTACTGGTTACCACTAATGCACTCCCGCCGTGTAGCTCCTCTCTGTCTCTGCATACTTACTAAAGCTGTAGGATTTTCGGCAACTCTGGGGTTCCTTGCCACTGGTATTACGATGCCACTACCATGGTGAGGGTCTGGCTGAAGGTGATTTAAGTTTCTTACTGCCAAACTAACAAAGTCATTGATTGTAATGTCTACACTATCTAAGGCAACATTGATAAAAATCTATCCGAAGGGTTCCTCATGGAGTTTCTGTTGGCCAGTGACTTCTCTCACTCTGGAAAGCATGTGTACTGCCAAAACATCGCTTCATTGGACACTGCCGGAGTATTCATCACGACTTCGCCGATCAAACAGGTCGTTTCCCTTTAGACTGTGTGAGTTAAGTGTCATATGGCGAGTGAACATTTGGGGAAACTCACTTGCTCAATTCCTGCATCTGAATGCATATATATGCCAGGGATAGTGAACATGGACCATTTACCACATGCTTATTGAAGTCAACCTCGGTATGCAGGACCATGTTTTTGCACTGTCTAGCCAAAAGGGCGCAATGTGAATGGAAATACAAGTCGGTCGAACGAATGCAAGTTTGGCTGTTTGGTCATGTATCGTGAAAATGACTTACGTTCAACCATAGTAAGGATAGAAAATAGACAAATTCAAAACGAATAATAGAGAGGCACTGGCTGAGAGACAATCTGAAACTTGAAGAAATTCCTGGCTTCCATCATATCGAGTCAACGGGGCTTATTTTAGACAGTTCCAAAGGAAATAAATCTCATCCAAATCACTCAATGTGATCTCTTATATGGTGTTTTCACTATAAGTGTTTGGCCTGGGTGGATAACTATGGCCTTTGTGCAACATTAAAGTGGCCGACTAATGTAAGACGGGTTGGATTTTCTGAAGAACTCCGAAGCAGATGTCAGACACATGAGTGGCATAAACGCTAATAGGATTCATGGGTATTACTTATAAACAATGGAAATGATTGTAAATATATCTCAGCTAACGACACAGACTACGGAAGAACAAGTAATCTGGAGGCCACTGATTCGAATCTTGCTGTGGTCCAGAGTTCTGCTTCTTTTTTAGTGGTCACCTATGCATTAATACTATTCTGTCCCTACAGGGTTGCCCCAAACAGCGACACCATTCGGGACAAGAAATAATTTAATACTATTTTGCCCAGGGCACAACCAATGCAGCACTAGTATATAATTGAAACAATATAAATTTACGACGATCCACAGAACCTCTAAGCCATACTTTCCCACCACATCAACTTGGTTCCAAAGACCAACCCGCTTAACTCCTGAGCCTCATTTATAAGCAGCAATCTCAAGAGTGGGGATGGAATATGTGGTCCTGTGGATAAGGGCACTCGCAATGAACTCGGTATAATAACCGATGACAAAGTAGACCTCTCTACAGGATAACTTAGTGTAAGTGTGATCAAAAAATCAGGTTGGTTCTCGTACTTGGCACATTACATTAAATAGGAAGCGGTGCTAGCGACTATGAAGGGAAATTTCAAGGTGGAAGTATATGTGATACTCATTTCTTAGACGTCTCCGAAATTTCGACTGTGATGACTATGTATCATACTGTCACATCCTAGTCTTATTCACTCAAATGGCTTATATGTCCTAGTGTGGAAGGTCGAAAGTGAAAAACACATGCTCTGAGTCAGATTATGTGTATTTTTCGGCAGAAAAGCAGTGATATCTCTTTCGTTTGTTCACACTGTATTTTGAAATCACCACGTTTAATTTGCTTCATCTTACATGTTATCAAACATTTCAAATATCTCTGCAACACATGAGTTTGAATTAGAATCTTGTTATAATATCGTATTTCGAGAAGCTCAACAAAACGTGAGATACGGGTGTATGTCAACTTCAAATTTGGCGCTTCAAACACAGACTATAACATCTTAAATTTAGCAGAAAAAGTGTCTGTTTTGGATTTCTTTCGTCAATTTTTTAAGTTTCTTTCACTCAGTTCCCTTTTCTGGCCAATCTGAGACGAAAATTACACCATAAAGGCTATTGCTTCTAAGTGACTCATTATGAATGGCGGCAGCTCCCCAGTTCAGTTTGCATAATAAGGACGACTGTGTATTCTCACTTCCGTTTTTTGTACTATTTTTTTATCTGGGGACAGCAGTAAAATAAATCTTCTGATCTTACTGTGTATAAATTATCATGTATGTTGTCAATTAACTACTTTATATCAACGTTTAGTGTTAAATCTACCAAATGTATACAGCTTATGGCAGGAATAGGACAGTAAGGAACAACCTATATAACTGATGTCCATTTTAACCAATTTTAGGCGTTTTACTTCTGCTGACCACTCTGTTCCCTGGAACACTCAAACACAGTATGTTGGATATTTCCTTACTCATTAATTCTATAGATATACTATGGGGAGGGCTATGGTGCATGATTATAATAAACCTGTCACTACGTACGGAAGTAATTTTACGAAAAGGGTAAGTTTTTTCACGTGTGTACCTGAAATAAACGTGATCAGGGTGATATAAGAACAATCTTTTCTCTTTATATCCCGAATTTCGGTATATGTTATCTATTTGTAGTGATGGAAGTCCCTTTCTTTACGAAGCAAATGTCCTGTTGATCAAAGTATTGACTGTTTCTTTTCAGTTTATAGTTTACTGCATGAACTGGCATGAGTTTGTTGTGTTACTTTCGCATCTTCTAGTCAGTCATTTAAAACGCTTCGTTTGGAATACACATCTCATCGGGGCATATGCTCTTCCGGAATGTGATAACGTTAATCTCCTGGACGAAGTCGCTTGGTACCTCAGTGGATTTCGATCGTATCTGGTTACTTTCGAAATTTTTATTTGGCAGAAATAGGTACATGAATAACATTCATTAAGTTTAACTCACCATTCCTTATTGTCCTAGACTGTTTTCCGTCTTATAGTAGCTTCATTTTAATTTAATGGACCTGTGGAATAGAACATACTCACTGCTTGGTCTTAGATTGACTGCTGTGAGTTTTCTTGTTTCGGATGTTGTTGTAGTGTAACAACACATTGTATATATTGAAAACATCCACTTTACTGTACCCAACTACTCAGACAGTATGTTTACGTCGTAATTGTTACTGTTTGAAGTCAGCATCAGTTAAATTTGTAAAGTAATAGATTTTAGGGCCTTATGGTGTAAGTTATTCAGGTCGTAGAGCGTCTACCATGGAAATAATCTATTGTCGTTACAAGCTGCTCATTCCAGTATGGCTTGGTTTAGCAGCTGTCATATATCTGGTCAAGCGGTATTCGGATTCAACACAACTATTTTTAGTACCATTTGTATGAAAGCTATACATATCATCTGACATCATGATACTATAAACAGTTTACCGTCTGTATATTAACAGTCTCATATAATGGTATTACGTAGATTTAAATGTAGCCAAAGTTGTAAACCTCACGTCTAAGGATTGTAAAACTGTTAGAGAACCTTAGAAAATTACTTGCACCCAAATAATTTAATCACTTACACTTCTATAAGATATAACTGCATTTACATACTAAATGTTCACTGGTGTTCTGCCTTTTAATGCGTCCTTTATTTTTCTAATCTAGTGGTGAGTTGTTATGTTGACTCGTGTAATACGTATTCTCTAATATACGGTTTATGTAGCAGAACAAGTCAAATCCCTAAGACTAACGCATAGATACAGTTTTTTGTGGTGAGTGTATTCTTTTGGTTTTAAACGTGGAACCATAATGTAGCCAGACACTTATAAGTGTTTCAGCCTAGTATATTTTCAACACAAGTAGAGTAAACTTTGATAATGTCTCATGGGCTTTGTAACGAATACTTCTCAGCCACCATAGCACTAGTTCCTTATCATATTTTCCAGTTTATTTTTACTCCCCCTAGGTTTCAGCATTTTCAGCCTTTAAATTATCACCATGACTGGAGGTGTAATACTGGCGTATGACTAATGGGAATATGCATACTTGTTGCGAATCTACCACTCTAAATTCTCCATATCTTACCATTGACTGAATATACTCTTTTAATGATTTATCCAGACCAGGAGTACAACTTAACTTTGGTAACGTTGCATTTTTGTGTTGTCGAATAATAAGCTCTTAGACACCATAGTACTTAGCTGTTTCGTTAGCGGGAAAGAATTGGGTTAGTAGTCCATAATTGAACTTTACTCGTAGTATTTTAACCAGGTAGTGACACCGATGACGTTTTTATCATTCACTTTGTTAGAGACACTTCTTTTAGATGATTCATTATTCACCATTTAAGTAACAAAAGTTAAGCTTGGAACACCATACTGTCTTTTATAAGTATCAGTGTTCACAGTTTACATCAACCGTAATCCATCAGGAGGACTGATCTAAGTTTTTTTACAATCCTTTATAGGTAAAAAAAAAACAAGACAGAAGTAACAAGCAAACGATATATAATAGGGTGTTTGAAATTCAGTGTAAGATACCTCCGTTCCTACACCAGTGTGACTGCTTTCGAATTAAGTGCAGTATTTTAAATAAGTTTGTGGAAATGTCTTGACCAAAGTAACCAGGTTGTTATTTGCGTCAAGACAAGGAAGCTTAAGTTCACGACAGTTGATTTGTGATAATGACAAACAGTAGACAACTCAATAACCTGGTATAAGTCCATACATTATGCATTGAGTCACACCTACTTTCTGGAGGATAACAATTATTGCTCCCCGCCAAAGCCCTCTGAATACAACGGGATTCGATTGGGTGACTAAGTGATTAAAAATTGGCTATCTAGACTTATAAGCTCCAACTCCACATCAGTTATTTATCATTTTCTTGTCTGATGGTGGATAATAAAATTATTGACTGAAGATCGACATGTAATGAAGTGTTGGGATTCCGTACGTGACAGTACCAAACTGCGGGCCACACTTGTAGTTTGAGGACTGGTGGTACCACAACCTAGTTGCACAGGCTGAAATATCCGGAAGGGGATTCGAATCCCGGACCTACTGCTTAGAAGTCAGGAGCTTAAGCCGATTAGTCACATTTCCATTGTCATACCGTGGTAGGTTCTGGACAGTCAGGCAGTATAATTGTAGGTGTGATGGGAAACCCCAATTAGAGTGCCCCAATAACTGAACCAGTGGATTTCTGTGAATAAGTAATATTGTTCTCAGGTAGTTTCATATATCTATAAATAAGTATACATTCTTATGTACACTGTTATTTCGTAAATTTCACTGAGGAATTCAAATCTGTTCGATACTAGTATTTTGAATAATTAGTCTATCTTTGAATTATCGCCGGCCTAGATTTTCGAATTGCATGTGCGTATTTATGAGTTTATTATTTTGCCGTGTTTTTAATTCAAGTTGTTGTACTAGTAAATATCGATTCATAATCATAATAACTATTGTCTTCTCATGTCTCTTAATCAATAAATTCTTGCTATTTGCATTAATTTTTACAAAATTGAGTCGTGTAGCCATACCATCAAAATGAGATGTATATTGTATTAACCCTGTTCCTAGCAAATAAACAAATTGTGTGGTAATATATAGATTGTACTTTAGTGGTAAATTATCTTCTGATTGTAGTCTTGAATAAGTTCTTCATTTTCTTATTTTATTTACGAATCAGCCCTTGTTCGGTACTGGTAATTCAGTGAATGCTGGAACACCACCTAGTTTCAGTGATATTGCAACTCTTTCAACAACTGGTTATAACTCTAGACCTGGTTCTTCTCAACGAAATGGTGAAATTGTCAATCCGGTACCCAATGCGTTTCCTGGTCGGACAACATATCCAACTGCACTGGATTCTAGTCTAGAAAATGGACCATCATACTTCTATGCATTAAATTATAATGGTAATCAAACAGGTCCTCCAAGGAATTTTCTGAATCTGCCCTTTTCTCTTCCTTGTCCACTGTAAGTCGGACAGCTGGAAATGAGTTGACAAACAATCGAGTTGGAAATATTGCCCCATCAATCCCCATAAACACCGCTATGGCAATGGCTTCTAATCGTAGTCCTGGTAGTCTGTATTCGAACTCAGTTGGAAATGATAATAGTCCTTCAAATCCCACAAATCTTTCTCTGTCCTCGTCTTCTCGCGGTGTTACCTTGGACCCTTCGGAATTTCCTCCAATTTTAACTTCGACTGGGCGGAGTGGGAATGCCTCAACAACCTTTCACTCCTCGGCAAGTCAGCCTCCGTTACGAAACTATGTTTCCATTATGTCCAAGGGGTCATCAAACATTGATCAAAGCTTAAGTCAAATGAATCAACAATTTAATCATTCCTCAAATAGTCAGGCAGCTCCTTTAGAATTTTCTAAACAAGATTTCCCCGCTTTGCCTGGTTCACACCAGCCTACGACTAGTACAACAACAACAGTATCAACGACGAGTGCCTTAACTGTTAATTCAACATCTGCTACTCATCGTTCTTTGTCAGCCAGTTCTGTGACACAAACTCCTGCTTCTACAAATTCTCGACGGTTATTTAGCCACACACCCAATCAGGTTATGGCACAATCATCAAGCCCGAACCAGCCAAGCTATTCAAATGTTCCTTCTAAATCTGTCGGTGCTTCAAATGGCATACAGCTACTGCCTAATCATTTAGTTACAAATATTCCTAAAAATATGATTTGTGATCAGTTTGGAATGTTGGGTTTATTAAAACTCATTCGAGTGGGTGATTATGATGCAACATTGAATATGTTAGCTCCTGGATTGGATTTATCTTCATTGCATAATAACTGGCAAACATCTGGGTAAGCTTCAAAATTGATTATGCATGCTTTTAGGCTGTAATGTAGAAATGCTAGTCTTTTTTCATTAATTTTTCATGAATTTGTCAATACAGGTGAATGTGATGAATAGGTTTTGAACACTGTCACAAATTTCACTGAAAGGGGGTCAGTCGAGACTAGTTGAAAATGACAGTACAGAATTGTAATTATTCTGATTCGCTAACATACTGAATAAAAACCACACAGTTCCATTTTCAGTGAATGAAATACTCGCGTGGATGTATAAGTATTTGACGACTCAGACGAAATCTATTTCTTTGGTTTCTTCGGAGACTAGCTATCGCTTACTTCTAATGGTTTACTTATATAACCTTAAGAACTCAGTTTATCTTGGCGACTATTACTTCGCATTTGTTTGTCTCATATTCAGTATGTTTTCACGACAACTTAGTTTCCGTAAGAAGTTTTGTACTGAACGCCGATCTTGTCTCATGTAGAAGACAGGAAAAGGCTAGCTGTCTTTGATCATGGATGTCCGCGTTTTATCTCCCGTGTTAGATGGTTTCATATAGTGAGTAATATTGTGGTTAGCTGGAGAGTATTAGGTCAGGAGGGAAAATCTATCTAAGAGGTTGTCAAGCTACATCGACTAAGATGGTTAGGACATGTGTTACGCCTGCCTAGCCATCGCCTTTCCCGACGGGTAATGTTAACTGACATAGGATGGATCACGTTGGAAAAGATCTAGTGGTGGTCAAACCAAGACATATAATCAGGTAGTGAAATCCATAACAGCTAGTTTAAGCCATGTAGGGTGGTGGTGACTTCTTGGGTGGGGATTCTCGGGGATGGTAAGAAACAATGGCTGGAGACAAATGGTGATATGTGGCTGGAAATCGTTGTTATGACACATATGCATTCACTCTTTGTGATTTGTTATATCAAAAAAACTGTATTGTTCTTCCATATTACTATTCTTCTTGCCTCATATCTGTGTTTACTATTTCTATTTTGCATTTCTTTTTTGCTTTCTTCTCTTGCTTTGTGTGTAACATGGAGGGAGAATGGTGACTCGAACTGCTGTACATCTGTGCAAAGTTCTATGCTAAAATCAGTCACTCAGTCCTCGTTTCATGGTAATAAGTGACATCAGTGCACACATATGAATTATCTCATTGTCAGAGAGACTGTCCACTGCTTTAGGGAATATTACCGCCAAAACATTGGTTTTTGACTCGAATAACCAATACGTATAAATAGTGATGTTCGATATTTTTAAGAATTTATGGTATAACCATGGTATGCGTTTATTATTGACAAATTACATCCTCAACTTAAAGAGTCCATTTTTCACAAGCCTAGAGAATGACTGTACGCACCAAGTTGTTGCAAAATTGATCTTTAACGGCCAGATAACAGCACCAGAAGTAACTCAAGTTGGTATATACTGCTTTGGTTTACGGTATAAGACTAGAAACTCCATCCGTCAAGTCTTCGCTTGCTCTGACGCAACTAAAAGATTCACCAACTTTTCGATTACTTCCAACGGTTCACCTGCAAGACAGGGGTAGACGCAAGCTCTTGACAACCCAGCAACATTTTGCACTGGGACAGAACGATTTGGGTAGTCTGCATGTCATCAAGAAATGAGACGATATCATTTGGATATTCATGATCAAGTAGTCTTTCTAAAAGTAGAATATCTACGCCGTCACCGCCTACATCCTTCAGATCTATTCTCAGATTGTCACCGCTGTAAAAGTTAATGGGCGCTTAATTAAATTGCTCAGTTTTATTTAGTGTCACCGCTGATTCACAACAGTGATGTTCTGTAGTTGTATGACTCCATTGTACCTAAGATATTTTAATAGGATTTCAGAATGTGAATAAATCTCCTAAGTACACTTCATAATAAACGGTATCGTTCAGCAGACTGATGGCAGCTATGATATTAAGGAATGTGACTGCCGGACAGTGGTACAGTTGACCAAGAGAAAAAAACGTAGTTGGTAAATCCCAGTCTATTCTTTGCGAACGAATTTTTCACGCGTTTTTATCGGCTTGCAAAGCACAGAGGCAACTGGCATTTTTGAGACAAATGGTGACCAACTGATATCTCCATTATTGTCATATGGATTACTTACATTCTTTCCGAGAAGATGGAGGCGATAAAGATAGCCAACCAACCAACAACCAGCACTCCTCACTCCCTCTTCACTCTGTGGCCACTAAAAAAACCAATCGCTATCAAGAGGTTACTTCCTTTACTTATCTAGGAGGCATCGTTTCAACTACAGGCAGAGTGCACGGATGACTATTTTTAAAACCAGAAACGGAAAGGCAAGACAGACACCTTCATCACTCTGAAATCAGTTTGTAATTTTCTGCACTCAGCATAAACAACGAGAATCGAACTTTCAACTTTCAGTTAGTGTTTTTATATAGGTCCGAAACTTGTCATGCTCGTTACGAAAAGAATTTCTAACAGGCTACTGCAGGCTTTTGTCAACGGCTGCCTTCTCTTACTCCACACTAAAGATCAGATGGCCAGAAAGAATCGACAACAAGCAAATCTAGGAGGCAACGAACCAACCAAGAACCTATTGCTCAACAAATATGACGAAGAAATTGGAGATGAATCGGACACATACTAAGGAGAAAGTTGAATCACGTCGCGCACCGGGCCATCGCTCGAGTAGAACCTGAATGAGTTGGGGTCTGATGGTGACGTAGAGGAGATCATGAGAGGAGATGAAGGACTATGGGCAATCATGTGGCAGGCTAAAGATGACAGCAGAAAGTAGGAAAAAGTGTAGATGTGGTGAAACCCTATGTTCCAATTGGAACCTAAGCGGAGAATAATAATACATTGCACGGTTCTTTTTGATAAGAACAACTAGCGTAGCGTTCGTCTACACTTGATGACCAATAGATAGCCCTGGATTGCTGTTTGATATTTGGCTGCAACCAATTTACTTACGTCCAATATGTTAGGACAGCTTAAATGAACACCACTAGTTTCCAAAGTAGACCTGACACACATGAAAGCATTGTCGGAACCTAGATGACTGCTCTAGAAGGAAGAGGAGGAGGAGGAGTCTCTTGTGCATTCACACTATCGAAAGCTGATAGTAGTGTGAGACCTGGCTGAGTGACAGAGGTGTCCCCCAAGGGGCTGTACTCTCCCCACTTCTCCTTTCATTCTTCCTACATGACCTACCATCTTCAAATGACATTAACTTTGTCAAATATGCTGATGACCTAACTGTATCTTTACCTGTCAAATATCAAAGTGACTGCTCTAAACTAAATGGCTTCTTATCAGAAATCAGCCAATGGTCCAAGGAAAACGGTCTCACCTTAAACCCCTCCAAATGCCAAACAGTTAATTTCACCTTTAGGCACAAATCTGACCTAAACAAACTGGTTAGGACTCACGAGATGTGCAATATAGATGGCACTGAAATTGAAACCAAGTCGGAAGTTAAATACCTAGGCGTCACTCTATCTTCTGATCTTTCCTGGTCGTCTCCTATCTTGACGATTTCCAAGAAAATATTCCGTCTTACCTTCTACATCAAGAAGTTAAGACTTTCTGGTGTAACCCAACCCTTACTCCTACAATTTGTTAACTCCCGTATTCTGCCTATTATTCTCTATTGCTCCCCTTAGTCTTTCCTGGGCTATTGAAGAAAGACTATACCTTATTACGTAGGATGTTAAAGGTTGTCAGCAGGGTAAGCAGTTTGTCACTTAGCCAGCTTGTTAATATTCTGGTGGACAGGCATATGGACTCATGTGAAAAATGGGCGAAATCCATTTTATCTGACTCACAACACCCTCTACATTCACAACTCTCCCCATGTATCTCTTCAGGGAAAACCAGAAGCCTATATAGGAAACTTTATGCCCGCACTAGCAAGTACAAAAACTCATCCATACCCTACCTAGCTCGTGTTCTGTGCGATAAAGAAAGCATTAGGCATGAAACCTTTAACTTATTAAATAGTCAGTAGAACCAATGGATCTCGTCTTTCCAAGTCACATCATTTACAGGTACAACGTTTTCTCTCTACTTTTTTTTCATTCTGTATTTATTTTTGTTATGTGCTGTTTTGTTTCTGTCTTCCTTACAAACTCTACTTAAAACATTCTTGTTCGTTCTTTCACACTCTGTATATCTCGACCATTTTGCTATCGCTTACGCCAGTAAATATGCTAGTAGTATGTAGTTTTCTAACCGAAAAGCTGCTACCTTGACGTGGTGGTCGGGCTTGAACACCGCAATGATCTATTCAAGCTATACTGGCTGAGACTTATGTCTCTTGAGGTTCTACCATGCCAGGCAGGTTGTTTGGATAGCGGTTAAACAAAAAGCAGCTACCCAATCCAACATCATGTCCAATACAAAATTACAAAATTTCATGCCGGATCGGCCGTGGCCCGGATTAACAACGACCGCGCTTCCTGCTGCCGTGTCACAGGGCGGGAGTGATAAATCTGCTACTGAGACACACCAAACAAAAAAGAACGAACAAAAACAGGCCGCGTGTGACCGGCCTCAAGCAGTTGTCCCCTGGGCTCTGCGGTCACGCAACCAACTTCCACGGTGTGGGCAGCCGGGAAGTAACAATCGCCCTCACAATCCGAAATGCACACGAAACCTCTCTATTACTCACTCATCTTTGTCTTCATCTTCATCTCTATCATCTTGCCTTCCTTCCACTGATGCAACTCCTCGACTTGATAGCTCTCCACTTCCTCTCCACTCTGCGTCCACTAAAAACGATGGAAGCCAAAAAACCACCACCGACAGCCTCTTAAAGCCGCGCCACCAATTTCATATAGGAGCTCTTAATGTTAGGACACTTTGCCAAATAGGACAACAAGCATCACTAGCCAAGACCCTGGCATCACGAGCCATTGATGTATGCTGTGTTTCAGAAACACGCATACAAGACCCAAGTGTGGTTATTCACCTAACCCCACCTGGCCAACAGGTTGAATCTGCAAAATTCACC